CACCTTGAGTCATTCTAGCTCAGGACCGACACTGTAGCTATGCAGAATTTCAGGCAGGAAAGCCAGCCTTTCATAACTTTACCTGGAGGTGCCAGAGTTGGGATCTTCGCCATGCAAGCTGCTCTTCCTAGGATGAGTTGTTGTTGTTGTTAGTTGCGAAGTAGCATCTGACCCATCGCGACCCCATGGACAACGTTCCTCCAGGCCTTCCTGCCCTCCACCATCCCTCAGAGTCCACCCAAGCTCATGCTGACTGCTTCAGTGACCCCATCCAGCCACCTCATCCTCTGCCGTCCCCTTTTTCTTTTGCCATCTATTGTTCCCAGCATCAGGCTCTTCTCCAGGGAGTCCTTCCTTCTCATTACGTGGCCAAAGTATCTGAGTTTCATCTTCAGTATCTGGCCTTCTAAAGAGCAGTCAGGGTTGATCTCCTCTAGGACTGACCAGTTTGATTGCCTTGCGGTCCAAGGGACTCGCAGGGTCTCCTCCCGCACCACAGTTCAAAGGCCTCGATTCTTCGGTGCTCAGCCTTCCTTATGGGCCAACTCACAGCCATACATTGCAACTGGGAAAACCATCGCCTTGACTGTACGCACCTTTGTTGGCAGAGTGGTGTCTCTGCTTTTTAGTATGCTGTCTAGATTTGCCATAGCTTTCCTCCCCAGGAGCAAGCGTCTTTTAATTTCTTGGCTGCATTCCCTGTCTGCAGTAATCTTGGAGCCCAGGAAGATAAAATATATCACTACCTCCATTTCTTCCCCACCTATTTGTCAGGAAGTGATAGAACCGGATGCCATGATCTCAGTTTTCTTAATGTTGAGTTTCAAGCCAACTTTTGCACTCTCCTCTTTCACCCACATCAAGAGGCTCTTTAGTTCCTCTTCACTTTCTGCCATGAGAGTGGTATCATCTGCATATCTGAGGTTGTTGATATTTCTCCCAGCAATCTTAATTCCAACTGGTGATTCATCTAGCCCCACCTTTCTCACTATATGCTCTTCAAGTGTTAAATAGGCATGGGGACAATATACAGCCTTGCCGAACTCCTTTCTCAATTTTGAACCAATCAGTGGTTCCATGTCCAGTTCTCACTGTTGCTTCTTGACCTGCATATAGGTTTCTCAAGAGACAAATAAGATGGTCTGGTACTCCCATCTCTTTAAGAACTGGCCACAATTTGTTGTGATCCACACAATCAAAGGCTTTAGCATAGGCAATGAAGCGGAAGTAGATGTTTTTCTGGAACTCCCTAGCTTTCTCAATGACCCAGTGTATGTTAGCAATTTGATCTCTAGTTCCTCTGCCTCTTCGAAACTCTGCCTGTACTTCTGGTAGTTCTCGGTCCACATACTCCTGGAGCCTAGCTTGTAGGATTTTGAACATAACTTTGCTAGCATGTGAAATGAGTGCAATGGTGCGGTAGTTCGAACATTCTTTGGCATTGCCCTTTGGAATTGGAATGTAAACTGACCTTTTCCATTCCTGTGGCCACTGTAGTGTTATCCAAATTTGCTGGCATACTGAATGTAGCATTTTACCTGCATCATCTTTTAGGATTTTTAATAGCTCAGCTGGAATACTGTCTCCTCCACTAGCTTTGTTGTTGCTCAGACTTCCTAAGGCCCATTTGACTTCACCTTCCAGGATGTCTGGCTTGAGGTCAGTGACCACCCCATCATGGTTATCAGGAACGTTAAGCTCTTTCTTGTATAGTTCTTCTGTGTAATCTTGCCACCTCTTCTTAATCTCTTCTGCCTCTCTTAGGTCCCTGCCATTTTGGTCCTTTATCATGCCCATCTTTGCGTGAAACGTTCCCTTCATATCTCCAATTTTCTTGAAGAGATCTCTGGTCCTCCCTATTCTATTGTTTTCTTCTATTTCTTTGCACTGTTCATTTAAGAAGGCCTTCTTATCTCTTCTAGCTGTTCTTTGGAATTCTGCATTCAATTGGGCGTATCTTTCTCCCTTGCCTTTCGCTCCCTTCTTTCCTCAGCTATTTGTAAAGCTTCCTCAGACAGCCATTTTGCTTCCTTGCATTTCTTTTTCTTTGGGATGGTTTTAGTTGCTACCTCTTGTACAATGTTGTAAACCTCCACCCATAGTTCTTAAGGCACTCTGTGTATCAGATCTAATTCCTTAAATCTATTTGTCACCTCTACTGTGTATTCATCAGGAATATGATTTAGGTCATACCTGAGTGGCCTAGTGCTTTTCCCTACTTTCTTCAATTCAAACCTAAATTTTGCAAGAAGAAGCTCATGATCTGAGCCACAGTCAGCTCCTAGTCTAGTTTTTACTGACTGTATAGAGCTTCTCCATCTTGGCCGCAGACCACATAGTCAATCTGATTTCTTTGTTGACTGTCTGGTGATGTCCATGTGTAGAGTTGTCTCTTGGGTTGTTGGAAAACAGTCTTTGCTATGACCATCTCATTCTCTTGACCAAATTCTGCCAGCCTGTGCCCTGCTTCATTTTGTACGCCAAGGCCAAACTTGCCTGTTATTCCGGTTATCTTTTGGCTTCCTACTTTAGCATTCCAATCCCCCGTGATGATACAGACATCATTTCTTGGTGTTATTTCTAGAAGGTGTTGCAGGCCTTCATAGAAGGCAACCTGTCGAGTTCCAACTCTGTAATAAAGCTATACCTGGATGGGACCCCAGATTTTTCTGGCTCTGGGGAAGCATTGCGTGTTGGTCTGAATAAGATGGGCAAATTGTGGAGTTTTACTTAGATGTTTTACTTACCACATTTATTTATTTGCTTGTATTTACAGGCCGCCTATAATTGCCAAGGCCTTCCTAGGCAGCTTACAATGCATAAAACATACTAACAGAGTAAAAGCACATTGAAAAACCAATTGAAACATAATGAATTAAACATCTATAAAAACAATTAAAAAGGACCACAGCATACAGGCTAAACATTAAAAATTTCCCCCAAAAATATGTCTTCTCCTGGTGCCAAAAGGAAAACAGACATGGCACCAGGTGAATTTTCCTAAGGAGGGGTGTTCCAGAATTGGGGAGCAGCAGTAGAAAAGGCCCTTTACCTAATTTCTGCCCCCTCATCGCATGAGGCAGGGCATGAGAAATTCGAATATAGTTAATTTTGTCAGGAACTGAACTTCGTGAGAGTAGCACCTCAATTAAAATGACTTCCCATTGAGTGGACGATTGGAACCGCAGGAGGGTGCGAAGCCTTAATTCACTTTTTAAAAGAGAAACTTTTTTGAAAAGTCAAACTCCTTCTAGTTGAAGAACTTGAGCTGGGAGTTTGGAGTTGGTGGGGAAGTTGAAAAAGTTCTTTCTGAATTGCTTGGGGGAATCCGAGTCCCTATAAAGGCAGTCAGCCCCTTTCCTGACCTGCTTTCCTACAACCACAAGCAAGGTAGATCTCCATATTCTCTGGAAGCTGGCTTGAATCGTCAAAGAATTATTCAAGACTGTTTCTGCACCTCTGCGTCCCTGACTTTTTCTTCCTGATTACAGTGACACAACAGCCTCACAACACACATGTGCTGTTTGGTTTTTTCAGCTGTTTTTCTAACCCATTCCCCCATTGCTGCACATTAATTGGACTCCAACATTATCTTGCAAAGTGCTTCTCGCTCGTCAGTCCTTTGCAAATATTTCTGCCTTGTTTTCACCCTGTTTTTCTGGGGAGAATGGGGCAGGACTTAGTTTTGAAATGCAGAAGATAGAATTCCTTCCGATCCCACTGGGGAGCTAACTCTATTTTTGCCATACCCCTGAGAAGCAGTAGATTGCTTAATCTAGAAAGAGAAAATGCAAGACACTTGAGAGTTAAAGGGGTGTCCTGCACAAGATAGAGAAGTTTTCCAAGGACCGGACTAGAACTAGTGGGTGGAAATGAAAAAGAAGCTGATTTCAATGGGATATTGGGACGGGTGGGATTGCCCCCAAATGAAAAAGAAGCTGGTTTCCATGGGATATTGGGACGGGTGGGATTGCCCCCAAATGAAAAAGAAGCTGGTTTCCATGGGATATTGGGACGGGTGGGATTGCCCCCAGGTTGCTTCCCACAGGCCATGACTTCAGGGGTAAGCACCCCCTCGGACCTTTGTGTTTGGGCTTCCACTGGGGAACCAGCTTGGCACTTTGTTTGCCTTCCCCGAAATGTTCATGGGAACCAAACGGACCTTTTGCTCTGGCTCTGCTTATGGATACTTCAGTTGGTCCAGAATAGAGCTGCCAGCTTATTAATGAGTACCAGCAGATACTCCCATATCATGCTTCAGCCCCGCCTCCTTCACCTTCAGTTCCACCCACGCGGCCCGTGAGAGTTTCTCCAAAATGGGATGTGGCCCGTGGGCCGCAAGGGTTCCACACCCCTGATGAAGAGTTACAATTGGAGGAAGCTTCCAGGTTTTGGTGGTCAGGTCCTGTCACGTTGGTCCTGTACTGTCTATGCTGGCTGCCAATTGAAGTCCGGGCCCAATTTAAGGTGCTGGTAATGACCTATAAGGCCCTACATGGCTTGGGTCCTGGACACCTGAGTGAGCACCTGCTTCCCTACGTGCCGGCCCACCCCCGAGAGCGGAGGCGGAGGCCCTTCTCCGGGAACCCTCTTTGAAGGAGGTCAGGAGGGCGGCTACTCAGAGAAGGGCCTTCTCTGCGGTGGCACCCCGACTATGGAACACGCTCCCCAGGGAGGTTTGCCTGGCGCCGTCGCTCTATTCCTTTCAGCGCCAGGCAAACACCTTTTTATTTTCCCAGTATTTTAAAAAATTAACTGGTTTTATCTCTGTTTTTATTCCTATTTTAGATGCAGTGTACCCTTTTTCAGATGTGCGTTGTTACGGGTTCTGTTCTTTTGGTTCGCTCTCTGTAACCTGCCCGGAGACTTTTTTTTTAGTAATGGGACAGCATACAGAAACCATGAATAAATAAATAAAATACATATGTAATCAGGACCCTCGGCAGCCAATTACAGGCAATCAACCCGCCCCACTAACATCTGTCTCCCCCCCTTTCTAGCATGGCAGACAAGTGCAGCGCCCTGAAATGCACGTTCTCTGCTCCGGGCCACAGCACCACGCTTCTCCAGGGCTTGGCTTCCCTCCGGGCACAGGCACAATTGCTCGATGTCATCCTCACCATCAACAACGAGGTGTTTCAGGTCCACAAAGTGGTTTTGGCCGCCTGCAGCGATTACTTCAGGTGAGAGACCCACAGGTGTCGCTTTTCTCCCTTGCAAGCCCGCTGTGGGCATCAGCCCAGCCCAGATGGGAAAGGCCTGGCGTGAAGTCTCTTTGCCCGCCGAAGGACCCGGCTCCCCACCCTGGCAGCCCCTTCAGAGAGCCTCTGTGGCCCCCGCAGACAGGCCCACGAGGCTCATGAGGGACCCCCACTCAAAACAGATATGACAGGCAGTTTTAAAAGAGGAAAGCCAAACCATTGCTCTCTCTGCCCTTTCTATCGGCATGTGCTGGCTTTCGTAATTCATTTGTTTGCTGTATTTCTGCAGAAGAGCCTTCATAGGAAATGGGCACTAGGGCAGGTAGAGAAAAGGGTCTACCGGGAGGAGGAGGCCCCTTGCAGAAGGGTTCTTCGCAAGGCTGAGGCTGATTACGAGCTGAGACTTGCCAAGAAGATCAAGAGCACCAAAAAGGGCTTCTATCAACATGTAAATAGCAAGAGGAAGGGGAGACAAGTGGTGGGACCGCTTAATAAGGAGGAAGGAGATCCAGTGACTGATGTGAGGGAACAGGCACAGATGCTAAATGACTGTTTTGCTTCTGTTCTCCCCAAACTAGGACGGGGGAGATCCACGTGGGAGATTAGATGAGGCCGGGGACTTAGTGGCACAGATAAGAGTCACCCCCATAGAAGTTGAGGAGCTCCTCAGGGCACTGGACGCTACAAAGGCACCAGGCCCTGATGGGTTACACCTGGGAGTATTTAGGCAGTTGGCAGGGGTTCTCTCACGCCCACTGGCCTCCATTTTTGAGGCCCCCGTGGAGAATGGGTGAAGTAAGTCCCAGAGGACTGGAGGGTGGCATCAGTGGTCCCAATTTTCAAAAAGGGTGGTAGAGGGGACATGGGGAATTAACAGACCAGGTAGCTGTAAGTCCATTGTAGGAAAGACAATGGAAAGGCTCATAATAGTGAGAGATACAGTGATGCTAGATAGGGAAGGGAGGTCAGCGGCCATGCAATGCGGCTTCCACAAAAACAGGTCCTGCCAGACAAACCTTGTGCAATTCAGTGACAAGGTTTGGGGGTGGCTGGATGGAGGGGGTGCAGTGGATGTGGTTTACCTGGATTCCAGCAAGGCCTTTGACAAAGTGCCCCATGATATCCTGGTGGAGAAACTGAGGAGTTTTGGGTACACCAAAGCACTGTCTGGTGGATTAGGGCATGGTTGACTGACCAAAAGCAGAGGGTAACCATTAGTGGGGAATCATCGGGATGGCGGCCAGTGACAAGCGGGGTCCCCCAGGGCTCTTTTCTGGGTCTGATCCTGTTCAGTCTTTTCATCAATGACCTGAAAGAAGGGGTGACCAGTCTGCTGATCAAATTTGCAGACGACACTAAAACTGGAGCAGTGGCCACAACTGAGGAGCAGGTACTCTGGATCCAGAAGGATCTGGACAGACTATGGAAGTGGGCAGGAGACAACAGGATGGCGTTCAGTGTGGATAAGTGCGAGGTCTTGCACTTGGGGAGTAGGAATGGGTGCCATAAGTACAGGTTGGGGGACGAGTGGCTGGAGAGCAGCACTTGTGGAAGGGACCTCGGGGTGCTGGTCGACTGCAGGCTGAACATGAGCCAGCCGTGTGATGCGGTGGCCAAGAGGGCGAACACCACCCTTGGTTGCATAGCCAGAAGCGTGGCTTCTGGATCGAGAGAGGTATTACTACCACTCTATACAACTCTGGTGCGCCCACAACTTGGGTATTGTGTTCAGTTCTGGGCCCCTCATTACAGGAAGGATGTAGCCAGGTTAGAGTCAGGGCAGCGAAGGGCCACAAGGTTGGTGGCTGGTTTGCAGGGGAAGCCGTGTGAGGTGAGACTGAGGAAACTGGGTCTCTTCAGCCTGGAGGAGACTCAGAGGGGATCTGTTGGCGGCATGCAGGTATGTGAGGGGGTGTCACACGGAGGTGGGTAGAGACGTGTTCTCCCCTGCAGAGAAGGGTAGGACACCTTCCATTAGAGCAAAGCTCAGGGAGCCAAGGTTCAGTTTGGATGCCAGGAAGCACTTCCTGAAGGTTAGGACCACTAGGGCATGGAATGGGCTCCCATGGGAGGTGGTTGAGGCCCCATCGGTGCGGGTGTTCAAGGATAGGCTGGACATGCATGTGGTGGGCATGTCATGAGTGGAGCCAGCTGGAGCCAGGGGTCAGACTAGATGGCCCGGGAGGCCCCTTCTGACTTGCTCTGTTTCTATATGGCCCTACAGCCCAGAGGACTCTTTACATGGTGCACAATTTAAAACATATTCATGACCATAAACTGGAAAATTCTACACACCCAATTATAAATAACTGCAACGGTCCATAAATCGACCCCGGGCATGGTGGCAATGATAAAACAAGTTGAACATTGTCTATAATAAAAATATTAAAAGATCTGATTTTTTGAAGCCTGATTTCAGACTTGTAGCTGCTGGTAACTCCTTTTCTGTATTTCTTTGTCCTTGCAAGAACTCAGGAGGAGCCTCTGAGTTGTTAAGTCTCTAGTCCAGCCTGCCCCAGTCTTGCCCTTAGGAGAAGTTCTGGATTGCAATGTCTGGCATTCTGGATGAAATTCAAAATACCTGCAGGGTGTATCTTGTGGATCTGCTTGTGTGGATTTTGCAGTTTGGAAGTCAGAGAGGGCTTCCCAACAAGGCATCACATGGGCTTCAAAAGCCAACGCTCTGGAGCTGGAGTTTTTCCTAGGCTGCTGGCTGGTTCTAGAGACACAAAGACCCAATCAGTTCATTGTTTTATCTTTTTATATGATTAACAACTGCTTTATTGTAATTTATGTATGTTTTTCGGTTCTAGTATTGTAAGCCTCCCATAGAACCTCCATTTTATGGGGCTGCATAGAAATGGAATTAAATATATAAACAGTGCACTGAACAACCTGAAGTGGAGGGTGGTTTTATTCAGCTGCTCATTTTAACTTCTGCTTGGTTGTGGCTCCTAAGATCCGTGTGCATGCTTTTATAAGTTTTGTGGGTTGCTGTTGTGTTTCCCTAGTAACACAAAACCCCTGGAGCTTTAAGGTTCTCCTGAACAAGCAAACAATTAATGGAGGCAGATGCTAATGGCCCTATTTGAATCCGGGCGTGTGGCTGCCAGGCCGTAATTACTTCGAGTGTTCCTTCTTTTTGTTGTGTGTTAAAGAGGGCTATTCTAAGGACTGGTGTGCTCTTGTTTTGAGCTTGCTCTGGTTTTGCTTCACACCAAGGACAAAGCGTGACGAGGGCACGGAGAAGCACGTTGCAGCCATATCAATCTGGACGATTGCTGGATTCGACAGAGCTTGAAAAAATTCAAAACAATTTGACCACGTTTCTGGTTTCCCACGCCTCTTTGCTGATAGGAAGCTATTCTCGCCTTCTCACATTGAAGCAGCTTAAGAACTCGTAATTCTTCCATTTGTTGTTCTCAACAGCAAAAAAGCCTTTAGTGGCTTAGCTGGTCAGTGGGCTGCAGGGGATGAAGCGATGCCTCAATCTCCCACTGCAAGGATGACCTAGATCTGGAACAATCGTCGTGTCTTCTCCCTGAGCTGTTTTATTACCCAGCCAGCTTCCTTTATTCACTCAGCCCTTGCTCCTTTCTCCTAGTTTGTCATGGTGCTCCAGGCTGGGTCCCATTTCCACAACCACCCTCTTTGTAGCTCTCTTCTTTCTTGCAAGAACGCAAGAGGAGCCTCTGAGTTGTTAGTTTCTAGTCCAGCCTGCCCCAGTCTTGCCCTTTGGAGAAGTTCTGAATTGCAAGGTCTGGCCTTCTAGATGAAGTTCAAAACAGTGTTGATCTTGCACTTTGGAAGTCAGAGAAGACTTCCCAGCAAAGTGCACGCTGGAGACAACCTCATTCAAGAGGGGCAGATCTACTCGCATCTGTTTTAGCTCATTAATATGACTGATGTTCATTCATTCACACGTACTTATAGGCTGCCCGGAACTGCCGAGGCGTTCCTAGCAGGCAAAACTGAAGAATATCTACATCAGTTCTATCTGCTATATACAGTTCCCGATTTTTGTTTCCTAATTGCCAAAAACCTTTGAAATGAAATATGAGCTACGGAAAAAAAGTCAATAAAGCAAGCTTAATGTGGCTTAAATGTTAAGATCAAATTCAATTGGAAATGGTTTAAAATGACTGTTAAAGGTTAGCAGTTTGAGAGTATACACTTCTCTTAGAGGGTTTCAGTTATAAGGGGGAAGGAATTAAGGCACTGAAAATTGTTAGCATGCTAATTTTAGCATGAATGGTACATCTAATAGATACGTGGATAGATATTTCTTAGTGTAATGATCTTTTGAAACTGCCCAGCTTGACTGCTGTTGTATATTCTTATGCTATTGCTTCCTAATTTTATGAGATCGTAGCATGTTTTTAAAACCTTCTGTGGAAAAACAGAGTGGTAGGAGCATTCCTCCCTCCCTCCACGGAGCCACTGTGAGTGACCAAGTATTTCAGGAGTCTGAAATGGCACCTGTGGCTTCAGCACCACGGACAGAGCAGTGTGCAGTCGAGCGAGCTGGCAGGTCTCTTTCGCTTCGAGGCCCAACTTTGCAACCAGAGTTGGCCAGAAAGGCGCTCCCCAGAAGTTCTGCAGGGAGGTCCCAGTGTTCCAGGCCGTGGGGTGCCTCTGGAAGTTGCGGCCATAAACAGCGGGGGGTCTGCTCTCTGCCCACCCGTTTTAACCCAAATGTGGGTCTTTGCTTAGTTTTTGACCACGTATTTGTAAGGGGGTGCTGCCTCTCCTCTGACCCACTTTTATATTAGCCCATGGCTCAGTAGCCAGCCCTGACCTACATCTGGAAGGCTCAGGGCAGTGGTTCTCCCTACAGGGCCAGCCAGAAGCAACTCAGGACTGAAACCGTCCTCTGAAAAGCCAGCCCCTGAGCTGGCATTGAGCAGTTCTATGTTCAGGCAGGTAATCCATTTTTCTGAGTTAAATTATAATAATAATAATAATAATAATAATAATAATAATAATTAATAATAATTATTATTAATTAATAATAATTATTATTATAACATTTCTATGCCGCCCCTTGCCGAAGCCTCGGGGCGGCTTACAACACAATAAATAATAATAGCAAAAAGTTGCCATTGAGTTTTAAACAAGTGAGTTTTACAAGTTTCCCTTCTTGCCTTATGATGAAGGACTCTCTGTACTTTGCAAATATTTAATACCGGGGACAATATATTTGACATTTTCTGTTTAAACAAAAACACTGAAGCAAACTATAGCACCATATTAAAATAATGTTTTAAAGACTGTTCAACTCCCTGCCTGATTTTTTTTTAAAAAAATCCAATTCCAAGAAGTCTCAACTGATTAGATAGAAAGAAAAAGTCACGGCTGCTATTTTATTTTATTTCTCTGCCAGCCTTGGGAAAGCTGTTCATTCTGACCGCAGTTCATCTAAACAATGAAGCCTTGCATGTTTTGACCTTTCCAGGGCCATGTTCACCGGTGGGATGCGAGAAGCCAGCCAAGATGTAATCGAGCTGAAGGGCGTCTCAGCCAAGGGCCTGAAGCACATCATTGAGTTTGCATACAGCGCTGAAGTGACCCTTGACCTTGACTGCATTCAGGACGTCCTGGGGGCAGCCGTCTTCCTGCAGATGGTACCTATGGTGGAGCTCTGCGAGGAATTTCTCAAGTCCGCCATGAGCGTGGAGACCTGCCTCAACATAGGCCAGATGGCCACCACCTTCAGCCTGGCTTCCCTGAAGGAGTCGGTGGACGCCTTCACCTTCCGCCATTTTCTCCAGATTTCGGAGGAGGAGGACTTCCTCCACCTGCCGTTGGAGCGGCTTGTCTTCTTCCTGCAGAGCAATAAGCTGCGGAGCTGCAGCGAGATCGACCTCTTCCGGGCCGCCATCCGCTGGCTGCAGCACGACCCCGTGCGCCGGAGCCACGCCAGCCAGGTCCTCTGCCACATCCGTTTCCCGCTCATGAAGTCCTCCGAGCTGGTGGACAACGTCCAGACTCTGGACATCATGGTGGAGGACGTCCTGTGCCGCCAGTACCTCCTGGAAGCCTTCAGCTACCAGATCCTGCCTTTCCGGCAGCACGAGATGCAGTCTCCCCGGACCGCCATCCGCTCCGACGTCCTCTCGCTCATCACTTTTGGGGGCACCCCGTATACGGACAACGACCGGAGCGTGAGCGCCAAAGTCTACTGCTTGCTGGACAGCAGCGCCCGTCAGTTCAAGGAGCTGGCGGAGATGGAGGTGGGGAGCAGCCACACCTGCGTGGCGGTGCTGGACAATTTCGTCTACGTGGTCGGCGGGCAGCACCTGCAGTACCGCAGCGGCGAAGGGGCGGTGGACCTCTGCTTCCGCTACGACCTGCACCTGAACCGCTGGCTGCGCATCCAGGCCATGCAGGAGAGCCGGATCCAGTTCCAGCTGAACGTCCTGCAGGGCGCCCTCTATGCCACGGGCGGCCGGAACCGCTCGGGCAGCCTGGCCTCCGTGGAGAAGTACTGCCCCAAAACCAACGAGTGGAGCTACGTTTGCTCGCTCAAGCGCCGGACGTGGGGTCACGCCGGGGCTACCACGGGAGGCCGGCTGTACATCTCGGGCGGGTACGGGATCTCGGTGGAAGACAAGAAGGCCTTGCATTGCTACGACCCCTCCGGGGACCAGTGGGAGTTCCGGGCCCCCATGAACGAACCCCGCGTCCTCCATGCGATGGTCAGCGCCAACGACCGGATTTACGCGCTGGGAGGACGCATGGACCACGTCGATCGTTGCTTCGATGTCCTGGCGGTGGAGTATTACGTCCCGGAGTGCAACCAGTGGACCATGGTGACTCCTATGCGGACGGGACAGTCCGAGGCCGGCTGTTGCGTGCTCAACAGGAAGATCTTCATCATCGGGGGCTACAACTGGCACTTGAACAATGTCACCAGCATCGTGCAGGTGTACAACACGGAGACGGACGAGTGGGAGAGGGACCTTCACTTCCCAGAATCCTTTGCGGGTATCGCTTGCGTGCCGGCGATTTTGCCGCAGGCGGCTGCCCGGAGGTGACCCTCGCACGACTCTCGTGCTGAAGAGGAACACTCTTTCTCTGACATAAGTTGTATGTCTTTGACAGAAAAGTGAACCTGGAATCCCCATTCTGCCATCCTTGTGTCCTGGCAGACGCTCCATCTCTGCTGGGGACTGAGAATACCACCATGATGGTGTTTCTCATGAGAGGGAATGGGTGTCGGAGTGTTTTCTGTCCTTTCTCTTCTCTAACGGATGTCCTGTCTTACAGAAATTAAGTAAGCCCTTTTCCCCTCTTTTATAAACTGGAAAAGGTTTAACTGCACCCCAGTACATTGTTATCTGTAAGTTCCTTTGTGTCTGGACACTTCAAAACCGAAAGGATCCCAAAATGAAATCAAGAAGCAACCAAGTACGTCTTGAGCTTGCCTACAGCAATAAGAAGAACGGAGTGATGTGGGGCAGTCCAAAGAGATTAAAGTGCATGAGCGCGTTCAAATGTGCATTTGTTTGTTCGTCCTTTTAAACGCATTTTAAACACCACACCCCTGGTCTTGTTCTCTTTGTGGTGTCTGGGAAACACAGCAATCTGTCTCCACCCATCCAAAAGTTTAGAATGCTTCCAGTCAGCTTCTCCCTTTGGGGTGGGTGGGGTGGTTTATTTTATTATTTATTTATTAAAACATTTTTATGCCGCCCCATTCGCCGAAGCCTCGGGGCGGCTTACAACAAAAAATTAAAAAACATTTTAAAATATATACAGTAAAATACAAATATATAATATAAAACATACAATATAAAACAAGCCGCCCTGGCCAAATAAAATTCAATAATACTAACATTTAAAATACTGCTTGAATAAAAAGGTCTTTGCCTGGCGCGGAAAAACAAATAACAACGGCGCCAGGCGGCCCTCTCTGGGGAGCGCCTTCCATAACTTAGGCGCCACCGCTGAGAAAGCCCTCCTCCGAGTAACCACCCTCCTAACTTCTTCCATGGAGGGCTCCTGGAGAAGGGCCTCTCCCGCTGATCTCAGGGGGCGGCTGGGCATATAAGGATGTAAGCGCTCCTTCAGGTGGTTGGATGTGCCACGTTGCTGGAGGATCTTGGCCTTTACCACTTTGCATCTCAAGACTTTGGCAGGCCAGGGCTCTGGTAACTGGACTTGTTTCTTTATTATTAGGATATTTTTATCCCGTCCAATACAGATTGTCTGTGGACAGCTTACAGTAGGATAAATACCTAATAAATACATCAGCCAATAACAAGATAAAATGTGACTGAGGATGTCCATAAAAAACATAATTAAAATAATTACATATTAAAGTAATGGGCAAATACAAAGGGTTTTGCCTGAAACCAAAAAGCATATAACATTGGCACCAGGCCAGAGGAACCTCTCTGGGGAGCGCATTCCACAGCCAGGGCGCCACCGCAGAGAAGGCCCTGCTCTGGGTAGTCGCTCTCCTGACCTCCTTCAAGGAGGGATCCCGGAGCAGGGCCTTGCTGCAGATCTTCAGGGGTGGGAGGGCATATAGGGAAAATGACATTCCTGCAGGTATCCTCGCCAGGTGCTTGCCAGTGGCAGATTGATTCTACCGTTTCCTCGAGCTTTTCACACCTCCACACCTGGCTGGACATCCAGGCAACCTGGGCGCTGCACAACGGCCCTCTTCAGGTTGAGGACTGGGAGAGGAAATGGTGAATGTCAGCATTCCCCGAGTCATGTTGAACTACAACTCCCAGCACAGGCTGGGTGGTGGGGCTGCTAGGCATTGTAGTCCAACACATCTGGAAGACACCAGCTGGGAGACTTGTGGAACGGATGCGCCATGTGTACAGATGGAATCTGTGAAGGATTTGAAGGAGACGACTGGTGCCGTCAATCGCCTGTTATTTGGTAGGGCAGATGGTTTGCCTCATACCCAGGTATTGCTCCCTTGAGCCAGAAAAGCTCGTGTACGGCCTGGATCACAGCCTGATGCAGCCCCCGGTTGTTCCTAATATTTTGATATGGTTTGCAGGTCCTCTGCTCGGGACAGACGCTGGTCCCTCTTCCCGACCCTTCGCTCCCAGACCAGTTCTGGTGGCACCAGCCCAGAATGGGGATGGCAGAGAAGGGGCACCTGCATTACACACCAGGTGGAGGGAAGTGGCTGCAGCCAGGATGGGCACTGTGTTGAATTTTTACACAACACAATACAATTTTCCCACAGAGCTTTGTGGGAAGTTAACAGCCACATGGCCCTAACCGGAGGTATGCCAAAACTGGGGTGGAGAAAAGGGGGTTTACAAGAGGGCATTCTGCCAGAAGGTAGTGTTGCCTAGTGGTTAGACTACTGGACTAGGACTTCGAAGATACTGAATTTACTGGGCAACTTTGGGCCCGTCAGGAATTCTCAGACATGCCTACCTTACAGCGTCATCGTGGGGATTAAACAGAGCAGAGGAGGGTCATATGAAGTCCACTTGGTTCTTGCAAGAAAAAATGGTGGGATAGAAATAACAGTAAAAATAGTAACTGTGGTTCAGGAGGATTACCTCAGCTCCTCTGAGGTAACAAAAGTGTTCCCAAAGCTACCGAAGTTCCTATGCATTTATTTTTATTTATTTATTTATTAAAACATTTTTATGCCGCCCCATTCGTCGAAGCCTCGGGACGGCTTACAACATTAAGTTAAAATACAAACATTAAATATAACAAATTAAAATGTTTGTAAAGTACAAACATTAAAATGCAAAAAATAACAATATAAAATAAGTCGCCCTGGCACTCCTTTCCATATTACCTGTTCATTAAACAGGTGCTCCTTTCCCTTTGTGGATTTAACTGGCTGTGTTGGCCAGAGTTGTATTTTCAAAGAGGGAAATACAGGCATGTTGTACGTTAAAAAAAAAACCAAACAAATTTGCAGCAGGCTGGAATGTGCACTTCGCATTCATGTCTTGCTGATCATGGTTGTTCTAGTTGTATGGAGCCCAACCGTGGGAGCATTTTTCCAGATGTGAAATCAAAACAAGCTTTCCCATGCATGCGTCTGATGCATCGACTTTCCAAATTGCTCAGAGGCACTTCATGTGCAAGTGACATCCCTGCCTTCCCTGTTGGCTCTCCGGAAAGCGATGGGAATATTTATCTCTGATAAAGAGGTCCTCACAACAGACACCTTTACTTTTTTATTTTATTTACACGAGGCCTTTAATGCACATCAGTTTGAAACGGGCTGAGGACCAAAAAGTGCACAGGGCGAAGAGAGGAGGTATTTTGCAGTGCTTCAGAGGGAGTTGTAAAATCTCAAATGAATGGAAAATTTCGATATTCTCTGAAGAGGGGAAACCCTTGGAAAGTCACACCACGAAAGCTGCAAATTGGAATTTGGCTGAAAGAACCCCAATTGCTGGTCTATTTGTTTATTTAGTGGGAAAAAGGAAGTTGAGGTCTGGATGGATTTGTGCTTCATTTTCAAAAAAACCCTCTCCAGTGCTTAAATAGGGGACCGTTAATTAGATGTTGTTTGGAAAACTTAAGGAAACACATCAAGTTGCTTGACTTTCGCTCTGTCTAAACATGTATAGGATGGAGCTCCTATGGGACTCTCTATGAGAACATATGGTATCTTCTGCCGCCGCTTTACAAGGGGGTTAGAGAAATGCACAGCTAAATCAGTGACTAGAACCGTGGTGGCATTCGATTAATTAATTGTTGTGTTAATTGGCCAGAATAACCAGTGTATGGTGCTTCTGTTCCAATTGGCCAGAATAACCAGTGTATGGTGCTTCTGTTCCAATGCAGCACAGTACAGAATCAGAGCCTTGCCCTGTCTACAGCCAGCATCTGCTATTTATTCTCAGACAGATTGCCCCTGTCTAGAGAAGTTCCATTTATGTGTCATGCCTCATAAGTAATGATATAATTTATTACATTTATTAATTTAATTTGTATAAAGTTCATATCCTGCCTTTTTTCCTCCAAGCATCCCAATGCAGCATTAGTGATTTCCCTCATCTTCTCCATTTTATTTTTTTCCCTAAGCATTTTTGGAGGCAATCATATGCAACTTCAGAGAGAAAAATGGTCAATGACTTTCAGCATGCCCCATCCAACATGGGGCATGCGGAAAGATGTATGCTGCTTTTCTAATTGTGCATATAGGATCATGCCCCCAAGTCTTTCGGTTTCTGTTGTTTCAAGTCTGTTACTATGTTTTAAGCCTTTGCATTACTGTTTGGCTTCATTTTGCTTTCTATTTTTATTTTATACTGCATTTTATGCTTTTAATGGTCATGAACCACCCAGAGAACCTCAGCTATTGGGAAGTCTACTCAATAAATAAAATCTTCACAAGAACCCTGCAAGGTAGGCTAGGGTGAGAATCAGGGCCTGGTTCCAAGTCCACCCAACCAGTCCCGTGACTAACCGGGGGCTGGAAGATGTGCAGGAACCACAGCAGAAATATTTGCGGAAGAGGTTGACAAATCGATAGATGAATGAATGAATGAACGTGGCTTTTTGAAGAAGGAAGGCAATCTGGAGCGGCGGCAAGGGGCTCCTCGCGCATGGGCAGAGGGCGCGAAAGAAAGCCACTGCGCATGCGCCCTCCGTCCCGCTCAGCCCGTAGCGTTGGCGAGGAGTGGGTGAAGGCAGGAGAAGAGCGAGCGCGCCTGCGCCCTGCGCGCTTCTCCCACAGTCTGCCCAGTCCCACGCGTGCGCAGTCGCGCGCTCGAGTTCCCCTTTTCGGCAGAGCATGCGCCCCGCGGAGCCCGCCGCCCGCCCGCCCCCTCCCCCCGCGCTCCGCTCCGCGGCTGGCTCGCGCGTGCGCAGTGCGGCGGTGGCGCCCGGACCCGGTGGGAGGGAGGGGGCGGGCGGGAGGGAGCCGAGTCGGGGGCGAGGAGGAGGAGGAGGAGGAGGAGGGAGGAGGCGGCGGCGGCGAAGCAGGCGAGCAGAGCAGCGCAGACGAGGAGGGATGCGGACGGGTGAAGATGGCGGCGTCGTCGAACAACCCGCGGAAATTCAGTGAGAAGATCGCCCTGCACAACCAGAAGCAGGCCGAGGAGACGGCGGCCTTCGAGGAGGTCATGAAGGACCTCAGCCTGACGCGCGCCCACCGGGTG